TGAACGCCATCTTCAAAATGACGTCAAAATGCAATACTCGTTACTAAGCAGCATGACGTCAAAAGGGGTAGGAAATGACGTCATAATGTAAACAACCTCGACCTCTTACAGCGCCGCGTGTTATAGCAACTGATTTAGCAGCAGAAAGTTTAGGTTGAAAACGAGGATACATCTTTAATTTGTATTTCTTCCCATATCTAATCAACTTCTCTCGGGTATTCGGACAGCAATTTTGGTTATCCAATGACATCACCCTTCCTTGAGCGTCCGGATCATAGGTAGAAGTACAAGTAGGTTGTTCGTTAGTGAGTGAATTCGATCCATTATTCCTCAACCAGTAAGTCAAAGTAACATGGCGAATCTTGACTTCGTCAAACAAGTTCAAATAATGCGAAACTTGAGCTTTAATACTACCAGTTAGAAAACTGTGCCAATTCCAGCAAAGATTTGAAGTGTAGATACCTTTACTGCCCAAATTAAACTCGTGATTATCCTTGTGTTCTGAATGAATAATCCGTTTGTAAATCCTCTTCATGAAGCTAGTTTTACGTCTAAAAGTCCTTTTACGACGAGGTGCACGTCTACGACGATAGAAAGTACTCCTACGGGTACGATAGAACCTTTTTCGTGCATAAAAACGCCTCTGGTAGAAATTGCGTCTTTTTCCGTTGAACGCCATCTTCAAAATGACGTCAAAATGCAATACTCGTTACTAAGCAGCATGACGTCAAAAGGGGTAGGAAATGACGTCATAATGTAAACAACCTCGACCTCTTACAGCGCCGCGTGTTATAGCAACTGATTTAGCAGCAGAAAGTTTAGGTTGAAAACGAGGATACATCTTTAATTTGTATTTCTTCCCATATCTAATCAACTTCTCTCGGGTATTCGGACAGCAATTTTGGTTATCCAATGACATCACCCTTCCTTGAGCGTCCGGATCATAGGTAGAAGTACAAGTAGGTTGTTCGTTAGTGAGTGAATTCGATCCATTATTCCTCAACCAGTAAGTCAAAGTAACATGGCGAATCTTGACTTCGTCAAACAAGTTCAAATAATGCGAAACTTGAGCTTTAAT